GTATCGATAGCGGTTTTGGGCTTTAGATATTCTATGTTAGTCTATTTTGACTTCAAGAGTTCTAATTCAGCTTGTATTTCTATTTCAAAATTTATTGGTATATTGTTATCATACTTTATGTCACTTTTAATATGCCTTCTGTTTTATAATTATTTTTGTTAGCAGAAATTAATTATAAAATTATTATTATTACCTGAAAATTTTGACCACAACCACTTGGTTAAAAAAACATACAATATTTACGAAAACCGCCTTTTTTTAGATCACTATAAGCCAACCACGTGAACATGTTCAACATTCTCTTTGAAAACTTCTATTCTGATTTCCATATTTGACAGTTGGAAAATCAAATCCATGCATTGATGCCCATGTATTTTTTAAAAACTTTAATTCGTTTTCATCATCAATTTGTTCATTGAGACATAAACCAATATCATAAGCATTAATATCAAATAAATTTAAAAGACAAACGTTTTTCTTTCTTAAGTCGGAATTAATCTTGATATTCTAATTTTATTTTATTATGAAATACGGGATTTTCCATTGCGCCTGTACGTTATTGAATGGAAGTTTCATATCGTAAATCGTATTCATAATGTGTTATTTAAACAGTGTTAAAAACAAGTAAAATTAAATTACTTTAATTTACATTTTTTTATTCGTATATTCACTAAGTTACTTGATTATTATTTTGATAATTATTGATTAGTTATGTTTTTTATAATACTAATATACTAATAAATACTTACTGTTTTTCCAATAGATTTGTTTTTAATTTCTTTCGATTGTTTTCGAAAATATGAAAATATGGGTTTAGTTTTCCTTTACTTTTCCTCCATGTTATGCTTGAATTGGATATAATAATATAAAATTACGTGTACTTACGCTAATTCATCAAAAATCGTATAAATTATAATACAAAACAATAACGAAAATACCGGATGATAACAGCACGACAATTGCCATACAAATATACACTACACTTGTAGACGCAAATCCCGAAAAAGGCTGACACTCGACTGATTGATTAAACTACTCACGATGCGTCACATATAGTCTAAAAAATTCGATAGTATTCCAGATTAGATACCGGGCATCGATATCGAACTGTTGTTGTTTTAACAGCAATAATTACACTTACATATTAAATGTATAGACGTAAAGACATACCTATTAAGTATTTATTACTTACACAACATATAACACGTCCTAAGGGATTCTAACAAAATCGCAATCCAAACAAAATGTGTTTGTACTATTTTAATATAATATATAATATATTAGCAATTGCACGGATATCTTTTCGGCATATTATAAAGTTAATTTTGCGAATGTCAGGTGTAAATAACTCCAAATTTTTAGTAATAGAGGAGTGTAAACAAGAAGAAAAATCTAGTATAATTATTGTCGGACTTCAGGTGTTTAATAAAAACTGAATTCATACCCATATATTTCGGTTTTCGAATTTTAATGATATCGCCGTTATATACAAATATAAATTATAATATTTGTATGCAAAAACAAAAATTAATTTCCTTAACAATACAGTATTTTGTTACCAATATAATCATTTGAACACTGTGAATAGTACATATTGATTTTATTAAATATATATATATATATATATGTAATTGACTAATGAATTGATGATATTAATTTTTTTTAATTTTTGTATTCTTTAGCTGATGATTGGGAGCTTTTTAATGGTACTTTTTTTTCTACATTATGTTTACGTAATCTGTAATATTGTGGGTCGTATTATATTATATTTACATATTGTTTATTATAAAAATTAATATTGATATTGGTTAGTATGATAACACCGAATAACGAATAATAGATGAGTCTAAACAAAAATGATAAACTGGACGAGAATGTTTTAAATTATTTGATTTTTTATTATATTCTTTGTTTATTAAAATATATAATAAAAATACAGTCTGTCCCATACATACCCCTTGAATATCTCCGGAGATAATAAATATTACCAAATTCTGATTTTATTTTACTCACGGTAATGAGGACTACAAATATTTATGTTTGAATTTATTTTTTTTTTTTATTAATAAAATTAAAAACTTACTCTATTTTATTATTTTCGGAAAATTTAAAGATAGCCATTTTTTAAAGTTTANTTTTTTAAAAATGTTGACGTTTTATCTTATTATATTTATTAATTTTCTGATTTTTATTATTTTTTAAATTCCATAGAAAAAAAAAATGTACAGTCAATTAGCCATAACAATAATAATCAATTAGCAGTACAGAGGTGGCCAAAAGTCACGCAACTCCCACCGTCTTGTATGGAACGCGCGTTACGGCGCAGTTTCTCCCTCCACGTCGTTTCCGTTACGTCATATTGCAACTTTGGTCTCGTTATCTTGTTTACGTACAACAACTGCAAGGTTTATAAAAAAACAACATATTTAATATAAAACACAACAGTTTTATAAAAATTGTGTTGCAAATTTGTTGCGAGACTTTTGGCCACCTTTGGGGAATAACTTAACCGCGTTACGCGATAATGAGATATTTAAGGAGTATATCTTTGTGGGACAGCCTGTATTATCAGCCTAAAAAAAAAATTAATAATAATTTAATAATCTTAAGTCATTATTTTCTACAAATTAAATATAAATAAATATAGGCGAAAAAACCAATCTATTTGGAAACCACATTTTTTCCAAAGATATTCAGACGTAAACCCAAATATATCATACCTATACCCAAAACGTACAAACCTTCTTTAGCAAACTCACATTTACAATTCAACGCTTAATCTATCTTACAATCCTCCAATATAGTAATTCTCAACTATTATTTTAATCTTCAAACCAGCAAAACCAAAACATCTAGTGTCTTCATGTTGTCCAGTTAGCCTAATAACGTTTATCATCAACGAAAATAAAATCTTACCTAATAACCAATCCGATTTCCGCTCGAATTCACAAATTCATAGAGTTATTGACAGACTATCATTATCATTCGAAAATAAAAACATTTTCAAGGTTCTTTTCTCAATATCACACAAACTTCGTTCTTAAAATCCTAAAATCTTTTCAAAACTATTCAATATTTTCTCACTCTAAAATTATTTCTTAAAGACAAATTTTTAACAGTCATCATATTAATTATAACTTCCTTCACACTAAAAATCAATGCTATAATATACCAAGGAATTGGCCTTTCACCTATCATTTGTAATATTTATATACATTCCCTAAAATATGCCGTACAACTTTAGTAGCATATACCGATAATAAAGCTATACTAGCATCAAATAAATATTCAAACATAAATGGTTCCGATATACAATACTACTTTAACGTAATTTCAAATTGGACTCATAAATAGAAAAATAAAATAAATGAAAACAAATCAGTTTAAGTAAATTTTGCTCTAGTCAAAATGAATGCCCTCAATTTTCTCTCTATAACATACTTATGCCAAATAGAATGTAACTAAATACTTAAGAGTTCTTTTTTTGATAAACGGTTAAATTAGGCCCAACACACCAAATATAAAAGGAAACAATCAAACACTCACCTAAACCTCATCCGCATTTTATTATATACAAAACAATTATTAATCCCTCCTCACTCTCTGCGTATTAATGGC